TACAAGGTGTGGGCATGTGCACATGTGTGATATGTGCCTATGTGTATAGTATGTGGTTGTGGTGTATGTGCACAAGTGTGTGGTGTGTGCACATGTGTGCACTTGTAGGGAGTGCGTTGTGGGGCATGTGGTGTATTGTGAACACGTGTGCATATGTCGGAATGTGGGAGGGTGTGGAGTGTATGCGACGTGTGCGTGCACTTGTGTGGTGTGTAAAAGTAGGGTGTGGTGTGTACACATGTTTAGTGTGTGGTATATGCATGTGTAGGGGGATTTATGGTATGTGTGCACAAGTGTGTGGTGTGTGCACACTCACACACAATCCCCTGGGATAATCTCCACCACGGCTCTATGGGAGAGCAGGCCTGACCCCAGCAGGAAGTGTCCAGGGCACCGGGCAAGCGCTCACACACACATGCACACACATGCTCATACTCATCCTCACATGCACCCACACTCACATGCACACACACTCATACTCACACACACACGTGCACACACACACATATACCCACACTCACACATTCACACTCAAACTCACACTCACACACACATGCACACACTCACGCTCACACACACGTGCACCCACACTCATGCTCACACACACACTCACCTTCACTCTCACACACTCTGACACTCACCTGATACAGACACTCACACACACTCATGTTCACTCTCACAATGACACACTCCCCAAGGCATCCCTCACACACATACACACACACACACACACACACACTCACGCTTAGGATGGATGTCCTGGAGCCGCTGGACCGGTGAGATGGGGTAGCTCCTCCCGGCCAGGCCTCAGGACGCTCTGTCCCTCACAACCCGCAGCCTGGCCAGGCGTCCTGAGAGGAGCCCCACGCCTTCTCCTCTCCCTGTCCAGCCAAGCTTCCCCGGGAAGGAGCGGCACTGCTGCTCGGGGCCAGGACGCTCGGGGGCCTCCCAGGAGGTGGGTTTCGCTCGGATACTGGAAAGGTGCCTCTGCTGGGCCCGGCAGAGTGAACCAGCGTCCTGCCTGTCTGCCGTCCGCTCGTCTGTGCTTCCAGCCGTCCTGGGGTCCTGACTTGGCTTCTGGCCTGCTGGTCACCATAAGCCGGATGGCTGTGACACATCTGAGACTTCTCAGTGGCCGTCAGTGCGCTCTGTGTCTTAGCTGCTCCGTAACGCTTCCCTCGCCGGGGTCTTGGCTGTCCTGACGAGGGCGTGTGTCCCGGGGCCTCTCAGATGGCGCCTTGGCCAGTGCCCGACACCCACCGCTCTCCCAGTCTCCCCGCTGAGCCCTTCCTCCGCTTGTGACTTCTGCGTCCCTTTGACTTCTCCCTGAGCCTCTCCCAGTGCTCAGAGACCCGCTGGCCCGGCTGCTTTCTGCTCAGAGCAGCCCAGACCCCTCGGCTGTCCAGCTCAGGCACGCGTGGTGTGAGGGTCGTCCCCCGGCTTGCGGGACTTTGGGGCCCTGGGGAGGGCCTGGACCAGGGCGTGGGTGGGCCTGTGGTTCCACCCTCTCATTACCAGCACCCGGGGCCTGCAGGGACAGTGGGGAAGGTGCTCACACCCGGATGCTCGCTCTCTCCCGCTCGCCTCTCCCTCTGCCCGTCTCCTCACTCTCTCCTCTCGCCTTCTCCGCCTTTCCTCTCCCGTCTCCTCTCCCGTCTCTCTCCTCTCTCCCTTTTTCTTCTCTCTTTCTCACCTCTGTCCCTCCTCTGCCTCTGCCTGCCTCTCGTCTCTCTCTCTCTCTCGTCTCTCGTCTCTCTCACTCTCACTCTCTGTGCCTGTCTCTGTCTTTCTCTGTCTCTCTCTCTCGGGAGTGAGCTGCGTATTTGGCGTCATTCCCGCCATCAGACCCTCGCGATGCTCCGACCCAGTCTGTATCAGAGAGGCACAGGCCTGCCTGCCCCTGATCACCTGGTGCCCGGGGCTTTCAGCAGCTGCGTCCTCTGATCTGGGGACGCTGTCGGCCCTGTGCCCTGGGGGTCTGTCAGCCCTGTCCGCCTATCAGTCTGTCAGTTTGTCACCCCTATCCGTCTGTCAGCCCTGTCCGTCTGTCAGCCCTGTCTATCTGTTGACTCACACAGCTCCTAAGTGCTCGGAGACACTGCAGGTGGCTCAGGAGAGGCGCAGCCGTGACTGGTGGACGGCTTCTCCGGCTTCTGCTGCAGCAAAACCCTTCCAGTGACACCCCCAGCACAGGAGTGAGTACCCCCCCCCCCGAGCACCACCAGGAGCAGCCCCAAAACAAAAGAAAATTTTAAATAAAAGATCCTTTGTGGTGGGCCCAGGAATGCTGCATTTGAAAGATTTCACAATTTCCTTCCCAGGCCACTAATACAATAGTCCTTTATGCACTGTCAGGTCATCCGAGAGGCCGGCCAGCACCACACACACGCACACACTCACCACATACATGCATTTATCACATACATGCATGTACACTCATCACACACATGCACACATGCATCACATGCATGTACCGCATACACGTGTGTGTATACCACATGTCACATGTGTGCACAAATGCACATATCACATGCACACACATCACATTGTGTACACATCATATCCACACAGATCACATATGTGCACGCATCACATGCACACATCACGTACATACACGCATCATATGCACGCGCGCATCTCACACACACACTTTCCCTACTGCGGGCAGGACACAGCCGGTGAGGGAGCGTCTTGTCCGAGGGAACGGCCTCGCCTGCCCGTCCCCTGCTGCCCCAGCAGGACTGGAAGGTGCCGTGGGGGAGCAGGAGTCCAACCCTCCTCCCCGTTCTCTCCGCCCATTCAGAGGCCTTGGAGGACATTTCTTCCCTAGGGACAGATGCTTCCTGAGACTCTGGGTGTTGCTGAAAGCTTCTGGGGGACTGGGCAGATTGTGGCGCTGGCCCTGGCCTGCTGGACAGGCTCGGGTTCTGGCAGGGGAGCCCCACCAGGCACGGCAGCACCCAGGCCTGGCTCCTGGGCCTGCCCAAACCCCACTTGTCCCGTGCTCGGCCGGGTCCTGGCTCCCTTTGGCCCCCCGTGCGGCTTCAGGGGTCCCCACCCTGCTCCAACTCCTGGCCGAGTCCTGGGCTTCACGACCCCCTGAACCAGAGCTCGGGATTGGACTTGCTCCCCGGGCGTGTGGGGTGACCCTGTGCAAGGACAAGAGGGAGAAAGGCAAAGGCGAGTCTGCGCTCAGCCAGCCCAGAGCCGGACGCCTGCCCCCCACCACCCCCCGCCAGTTGCTCTCAGAGCCAGGAAGGGGCTCTCAACAGCCTCCTTCAACCTTCCAGACGCTTCTAGAAGAGTCTAGAAGGACAGAGCCTGCCCCTCAGCCCGCACAGGCCCTGCAGCGCCGAGAGCCACCCTGCTGAGTTGAAGGAATCGGCCAGGCATAATAATCTGCCCCAACTCAAAGGCACCGGGACCCTCCATGTGCTGCCTGGCTTGATACTAAGCACCAAGCCAGGCCGCAGGACCAAGGCGGGAAGACAGGTCTCGCCTGCCCCCTGCTGTTCCCACAGGGAACTGCAGGCCGGTGGCTCAGCCACAGTGTTGGGGGAGTGAAGCTGGGTGGGAACCCCAGGTCTGGCCTCTGGGAGCCGCAGCCCTGAATGAGGGGACAGCAAGGAGGTGGGGGTAGGGTGGGGGGCGTGTGCTTCCCTTCCCAGAGCAGAGGGGCACATGAGTGCCCCCAAGGCTGGGGACTGCATCCCTGCAACAGGGAACCTGCAGCCAGCGGTCAGCATGCACTGAGGGCCCCTGCGCTAAGCTCACGTGTTCCCGCGGGGCCCATGTGCAGCAGCCTGCAGTCCCCGGGGGGAGGACGCATGCCGGGGCCACCGGGCCTGCCCCACGTGGGAGGTCACTGACTCTGCGCCGCTAGTTCGGTTTGGGGGTGTTTTCGGGGGTGCTGTTGGGCCACACCTGACAGTGCTCGCCTGGCTCTGCACTCAGGAATCACTCCCAGCATTGCTCAGGGGACCACGTGGGATGCCAGGGACCATGCGAAGCAAACACCCTCCCCGCTGCGCAGTGCTGTGGCCCCAGCCCTGCTGGCTGTCACATGGCGGGTGTCCTCTGAGCCCTCCCGATGCCTCCCAGCTCCGGCCAGCCCCTTCGAGGCCAGCCGCTCTCCAGGCCTCCTCCCGGCTGAGCAATCATACATCACCCAGAGAAGGGCTGTGTCCCCCACACTCACACCTCGTAAAGGCAGACAAGTCTTCTTGGGCTGGAGAAGGGCTGGGGGGCTAAGCCAGGGTCAGGGGCTCCTGCCCCCTCACAGGCCTGGGGCACAGTGCCCAGGCCTGGCCAACCCAGGGACACGGGCTTGGAGGAGCCCTGAGCAGCCCGTGCACTTCTCAGCCCAAGGCTGCTTGGGCGCCCGGGAAGCGCGTCTCCGTCTTGCCAAGCCTGGGAGCCTGTTTCAGAGCCTGACTCTGAGGGCAGCGGAGGTGCGTGTGTGTGTGTGTGGGGGGGGGGGGGGGGCAGGCGTCCGGCTCGGGCCACACAGGAGACGGGCCCTTAAACCCCCTCCAGCCCGCGGCCTGCAGTGTCCAGTCTCCTGAGAGGCACCCGCCCACCGGGCTCAGAGGGGAAGCGCTCTCTGGAAGGGGGGCCGGACAGTGGCACCGTGGGCAGTGTGCTTGCTCTGCTCGAGGCCAACCCAGACCCCTCCATGCAGACCTTCCTGCGCCAGAAGCACAGTGCTGCCCTGGGGTCTGGGCGCACCGGCAGGGCTCCTGCACGCAAGCCCAGATGGCACCTCTGCGGGCAAAGAGAACAGCCTAGGGCAGCCGCAACTCGGGTGTGGGGGGGGATTCTCGGGGCCGTGGGCAGGTGGCAGCAGGGCCCGGGGACCAGGACGGCCAGAGACAGGGGTGGGGGGGGCGCCAGGAACCCGCCCTCGGGAGAGGCTGCAGCCTCAGCTGAGTCACAGATTTGCTTTCACTCACGGACACCGACTGAGACGCCTGAAAAAACAGCCACGAGTGCATTTTATAGATACGATTTTTTTTAATTATGTACTGAAAATAAATTACAGGAAATAACTTTAAAATGCAACAGAGGACAAGGTCACGATAAACATTCCCAGTGAATCCCCTCAGGGTGCGAGTGCGGTGCTCGAGGAGAAGGATCACACAGATATCAAAACTGCAAACTGGCTACGCATTCACACAGGACGGGCCGCGGGCCACCACGGGACCGGGTTTTGCCATAGACTACAAAACTTTGGATACAAAATCGTATTTATATATTTATAATCATGTACATGCCCTATCTGTGGGTTTAGAAAATAAAAGCTACAGACTGTACAAACACTCGTAACTCAGAGCTGTAGGCAACGTTTGTGGATGGACTTTGCCCCCATGAAATCCACGGCAAGTCTATGTACAGGAAGGCGCCCGGCGCGCGGCCCCAGGCCCGCGGGCAGCTCCGGAAGGGCAGGTTCGTGAGTTGAAAAGGCAAGACCTCGGCCCGGGGACGCGCCCGGCCGCCCGGCCCCTCGGGCCTCACTGGCGTCCCCCTGGGATTCCTGATGCACTGACTCAAAACCTCGCTACAAAATCAAAATCTCAACAAGACACTGTGAGAGACTAGAGATTTCTCCGAAGAGTTCCCTGAAATTTCCTGCTAAAGAGACTTCGCTAGCACTCGCGCGGGCGGGCGGGAGAGAAGGCGGGCGGCCGGCCGCCGGGGCCGCTTCTACGAAACTACTCCTAGAGTCGATTGTAAACTTTGGTTTATCTTTATTTGCGTTCTCACTGTACAGCAAGCAGGAGGAGGAGGGCGGGCGGCTCAGTCTGCCTTCAGCCGGGCCTGCTGCGCCACCTGCTCGGTGAGGCCCGCCCGGAGGGAGTTCCGGAAAGACTGCTTGACGTTCTCCTCCATCAGATTGTCGCCCAGGGGCTTCAACACCTGTGGGACGAGAGATGTGCAAACAGAGACACACGTGAGGGACGGGACGGGCGACCCGGACACGAGAGGAGAACGTCAAGTCAAAGCCACGGAGAAAACCCCCCGGGGTGGGGGCACGAGAAATGAAAAGGGGCCGGTCCCCAAGCAGCCTGCGGCCGCACGGCCGTCAACACAAAGGACTTTCCTCCTGCTCGACACCGCGGAGGCCCCGCTCGCGCCCGCCGCCCGGAGAGGCCCGGGCACACGGCCTAATTTCTCTTCTTGTTACTGCTGGGCGCCAGTCTCTGCCGCTGTGCCGAGGACGCGGCCCGGCGGGCCACTCGCCGCCGAGTGACTTCCAAGAGTTTGGACAACACCTAAAACACGGAGCCGTGCGTTAGCAGCCAGGCCCGCCCTGCGCACCGCCACGCCCCCAGCATGGGCCTGGGACTGAGTGCTCACCTTCCGGGGACTCCTCTGAAGCGAGAGGGAGAGAAAGGCCGAGAGTTTAGATAGGCTGTGCAAGCGAGCTGCCCCTGCCTGAGCTGCACGGCTCCTGCCTGGCCGAGATGAGACCCTCGGCACCCCTGCACGCACACACACATGCAGCAGCCACACCTGCACGCACGCACACAGTGGCCACTCCCGCACGCACAGGCCACCCCTGCACACATGCACGCACGCACGCACACAGTAGCCACCCCTGCACCCATGCACGCAGTGGTGACCCTCCCAGGCCTCTGGAGCCCCCAAGCCCAGCCCTTCCAAATGCAGCCCAATGAGAATCAAGCAGCAGAGAGAGCTGATTCCGTGAGGTCATGGTAACTTTTCATCCATCTTCTCTGATTTTTGGGGCCACCCCCGGTATTGCTCAGGCCTGACCCCTGGTGGGTTCAGGGGGACCATATGAGGTGCTGCGGATGGAATCCAGGTGGGCCATGAGCAAGCAAGTATTTGTCCCACTGTGCTTGGCCCCAGTGTCCGTCTCCCGTGAGGAGGCACTGGGTGTTTCCTGGTCAACCTGCCAGTGCTCAAAGGGACCATGGGGTGTGGACGAACCGTTCCTGCGTGGGGGGGCACCTGCTCTGCTCAGCTGCACTCATGGTCCAGCAGTGAGTTGTTTTTTGTTTTTTTTTAAGAGAAAAACTTGAACGTGACAAATATCCTAATACCAGCATCCAGACCGGAGTCAACAGCACTTAGCTGACAAATGGGAACAAAACACAGACTGGGCCGGGCTCCCTCGGAGAGGCCTGGCCAGGGCCCCAGCTGCCCCAGGGCACAGGCCGGCTGGGAGAGCGAGCTGCCGGCTCTCCGTGCCCCCCACATGCCCACGCGCCTGCCTCGAGCACAGACCCCGCGGCCCCGCAGGGGGCACAGCATTTTCGGGTGGGCATGGCGTTCCCGCAGGGCCCGACCGACGGCCCGGCCACGCTCCCTGACTTGGACCGCTCCCAACAGACGGTCAGTGCGCGGTACCCACCTGCTCCCACAGCGTCTCAGCGACCTGGTCGATGAGCGTCCCGAGCTCCCGGAACTCCCCAGAGTACTTGACGTAGGCCCAGGTGCAGAGCGAGGTCAGGGCCAGCCCCATGACCAGGTTGCACAGGACGGCGATGGAGTTCAGGCCCACAAAGCCGGTGAGTCCGGAGACCACGTACATGGCGAACATGACGGCGAAGAGCGTGGCCGGGGTGCGGGCGGCGTAGAAGATGTTCTTGCCGTCGTTGTGCTTGAGGAAGCTGGCATAGGTCTCCTCGATCTCCGCCTCCAGCTGGTCCTGGTAGCGGCGGCAGAAGTCCTCCCCGCCCATCTTCTTCACTGACCGGAAGTGCCGCAGCGCCGCCTGCTTGAGGTCCAGGTGACGGCGCTCCAGGTCCGAGGGGGCGATGTAAGGCTTGTCACCGCCGCACACCTGGACGGACAGGGCAGCGGGGGGTCACCACGGCACCCAGGGCTCGGACTGTCCATCACGGTGACCGCATCACCACGAGCCCATCTGCCGTGTGTACGCGGAGACCCGACTTTCTCACAGTGAAGGCAGGAAAAGTCCAGGGCTCGGGGGTCGGCCTGGCGCAGGATGGGGCTGTGCCTGGCAGGAGGCTGCGAGGCTCGGGGCTCCTGTGGGGCTCGGCCCACATGTGGGGCTGGGACTAGCAGCACAGCCCTGAACGGCGACGCGGCCATGCGTGAGGAACCCGACCCAGAACGTGAAGAGCCTTGACCCCCACTCTCATGCCACTGACCTGCTCCATATTCTTGCAGTAGACGTCTCTGGCCCCCGCGACTGCGGCAAGATTATTGGCTTCAGCTGTTGCCTAAAACACAAAAAGCACCGATTTTACGCAGTCAACCTGACTTCTGAGCAAATTTTTCTCTTTTGGGGGGAGGGGGCGGGCAGGCCACGCAGGAGGTGCTCAGGGCCCCGGCTCTGCTGTCAGGAGTCACCCTGGTGATGCTCAGGGGATCACCTGGGTCGGCCACATGCCAGGCAAAGGCCCTGCTGCTGTCTATCACTGCGGCCCCCATGCGCTGCCAGCAGCCCAGTGGAGGCACGGAGGGAAGCTGACGAGGCAGCAGGCTGGACCCTGCCCGGCTCAGCTCCCGTCGGGGAGCTGGGGCTGGCGCGGAGAAACACCACAGACACCCCCAAATCAGCACGACCCCGACGCAACCCCAGACGCAGCCGGTCTCCTGACGCGAGAAAGCAAGGCCCGGAGCACAGTGCCACACAGGGCCCCGAGCCCCCTGAGGCGTGCAAGCTGTGGACCCCCGAAAACCAATGAGAAGCCCACGTGAGTGGCAGGGAGGAGACAGGGGAGGTGCGGGAAGGTGGCTGGGCGTGGCCCCGGCCCGGGGGTGGCCGTACCTGCAGCATGGACTTGGGGTGTGGCAGCTCCTCCCCCTGGTAGATCTTGATGTAGGCCTGAGAACACAGGGCAGTGAGACCCGGCCCTGCCCGGACGGTCCCCACTGCACTCAGAGGCCCTGAACGAGCATGAGATACTTCTCCCTCCTCCCCGCGGCCAGCCCAGTGCCGGCTCTCAGCCCACCCGCACCATGACTTGAGAGAGTGAGGGTACGAGTCTCCGCACGGCCGCCGCGGAGCCTCTGCACAGATGCGGCTCCGCTCTGGACAAGAGCCCCGGAGTCAGGCCAGGGCCCGAGTCGGGAAGGGGCTCCGGGGCTGGGACAGCGAGGGCCTGACCCAGGACGGTGAGGGCCTGACCCGGGGGGCGGGCGGGGGGAGGGACGAGGGCCTGACCCTACAGCTCACTAGGAGCTGGAGAAGCGTCAGACAGTTCTGGAAACAAACATACAAATCGGCTACAATCTCCTCAACGCCCTTAGAAAAGGACCCATTCTAGTCAAGGCAGAAAATGAACTTTCTTTTCACTTTAACATAAAGACAGTTTCTTAGTTCTTACTTAGACAAAACCATTTAAAGTAGCGTTTTCCTACCTTAAAGTATTCTACAAGATCTCGGCAAGTGATTTTAGATCCACTTATTTCTTTTTCTACCAAATTTTCAGGGGCTAGCAGCAACGGAACCAGATTTTGGAGTTCTTGTTTAAAGTCTGAATCAATATCTAGTGGACATAAATTTAGCCAAATGATTAGTGAAATGTTGGTTCACTGCTCAGAATTCATAAAATTCTAACTCTTGAAACGAGTACAAAATAGATCAGATTTACTACCAACACCCCGCCCCCGTTCACCAGCCCACTTCCCTCTCACCCCCCGACTCTCTCCACCCGGACACTCACTGACCGCCCAGACCGCCCGCGCGGCTGCAGCCAAGCCTGACGGGCAGCAAGTGGCTCAGCTTCCCAACACTCTGCTGGGCTTTCCACACCCCCCCACCCCGCCCAGCCTTTTGCCATCACAGTCAAAACAATCTAAAATATGCACGCAAAAATCACACCGTCCCCCCAAAACGGCGACTTAAACTACCCGGATACGAGCTACTGACGGGCTAAGGGCTGCGGTCGTGGGCGTGACGGTGGCTGCCCACCAGCCCCAGACGGCCTCCAGCCCAGACAGACACTCGGACCCGAGACCCAGACTGGCTAATGCGCTTAGCGTCTAAAGAGTAATTCTGAGTGCAGCAAGAATGGGAATCCCCACCTTTCAGTCTCCCATCAAAATTAGGGTTAGTTGCAACTTTAAGACCAGGATGTGGCAAAAGGAAGCAACCAAGATTTGAGAAACAATTGTGAATGTGCTTCCTTACGTTCTGCAGCTCCTCGTGCTGGTTTTGCTTAACCTGAGGGCAGAAGGAGACAGGGTGAGGGTGGGCGACCGGAATCGCTTTTCCGAGACACACAGACGCCACACACACCCTGCATACACCATACACACCACACACACGCGCCACACACACGCGCGCCACACTCGCATCGCATACGCACCACACACACACCACACACACCACAAATATCTCACCCTAAACAGAAACACCACATACACACCACACACACACACACCACACACGCCACATACGCATCGCAAACGCACCACACATCACACCACTCACCACCACTCACATACCTGCACACCATCACACACACACTACACACACCATACACACACCACACACACCACAAATATCTCACCCTAAACAGAAACACCATATACACACCACACACACACACCACACACGCCACATACGCATCGCAAATGCACCACACATCACACACCACTCACCACCACACACATACCCTGCACACCATCACACACACACTACACACACCATACACACACCACACACACCACACTGCACACACCACAAATATCTTACCCTAAACAGAAACACCATATACACACCACACACACACACCACACACGCCACACACGCATCACATATGCACCACACAACACACACACCACTCACCACCACACACACACCCTGCACACCACCACACACACACTACACACACCATATACACACCACACACAAACCACACACACCACACTGCACACACCACAAACATCTCACCCTAAGCACCATATACACACCAGACACACCATACACCACACACTATACCCTAATTATACCACACCCTAACACACCACACACATACACCACACCCTACACATACATACCACACCCTTCACACAAACTACACCCTGCGCACACACACACTCTACACACAACACACACCCCATGCTTCATGCAAACATACAGACCATACACCACAACCTCCACACACACCGCACACAACCTCCACACACACACTGCACACTGCACACACACCATGCCCTACACACACCATTTTTCCAGTCTTGGCCACCAGAAGCCATCAGCTACCAAGGACGGAGGAGCAGGTGGTGCTGTGGTGTACAGACTGTCATAAAGAGCCCGCCCTGACCTGCTATGGAATACAAGGGCCACCAGGACAAAGGAACGGCCGAGTGTTGGCTGAAGCCCAGCGCTCCCCGAGGGTCAGTGCTCTGGGCATTTTCCAGAGTATCTTCAGCTGAAAAAGGTTTAAAAAAGGGGCAGAGATCGTACACTGGGGAGGGCACTTGTTTTTTACAGAGAGCCAACCTGGGTTTGACCTCTGGGACCCCACTGGGTCCCCCGAGCCCACCAGGAGAGATTCCTGCAGAGCAGGAGTAAGCCCTGAGCACCTCCGGGGGCGACCCCAAAACAAACAAGCAAAACATCCAGGCGCCTTTCACCATCTCCCTGGATCCCCAGCACGAGCAGGACGAGGGAACCGCTCGTGGGTGAGTGAGGCTACGGCAACGGGATGCAATAAACGGCCCCACAGGACAGAGGCGCCTCCATCCGGGAGGCCGACGCGGGGGCCGGAAGCTGAAAGCCGTCTGCTGTGCCACACACGGTCGAGTCTGGCCGGGATGGCCCATGTGCTTTGTATTAACGTCTCTGAACAAACCAAAGAAAAACTCTTGTCAACTGACAGCACCTCGGGGCGAGGGCAGGGGCGTCCGAAGTGCCTTCCAGCAACTCAGAGTGAAAAATCGGTCGGACTCTCAGTTCTGAAGGCCAGACCTCCCATGTACCCCCAGGCCTAAAGGGAAGGAGAATCACAGCAGGGGCCGGAGTGGCTGCCGGCGGGGAGGGCGCTCCTCAGCTGGGCCCCCAGAAACAGAACCTGCAGCGACCGAGAAAAGCCTCCCTGGGGAGAGGGTCTCTATGTGGGCGCTCGGGCCGTGACAGTCCCACGCATCTGCCCAGGGTGGGGAGGCCCCTGCAGGAACAGGGGGCCCGGGGCAGGGGCACGACCAGGAACCAAGGCTCAGGAGGGGTCCCAGCCCAGCAACCGAGGGGGCTCCCTGGGGGTCCATCCCCAGCCACTCTCCCAGCCGAGAGCCAGAGCTGGCCCCTCATTTCCGGGAGGGCCATCCCGCCCCCCGGTGCTGCCTGCAGCCACACACAGGCATGGCCCCTCGCCAGGACGGACAGGGCAGACAGGGAGGATGGAGCGATGGGTGGACAGGATGGGTGGAGCAGGGGGTCCCAGCTCGGGCTCACCTGCAGCCGCCTCTCCAGGAACTGCCTCCCGCCCTCCAGCCCGTAAGGGTACTCGTACGGGTAGCTCCAGTCTCGGATCAGGAACATCAGCGTCTGAGGTGACAGAGCACGGCCCGGCACTGAGCCACGCACGGCACGGCCGCCCACCCCCTGCACCCGGCCCAGAGCTGCAAAGAGCAGCGGGGGAGGGGCTCACTCTGCCCTGCCTTGGTCTGGGGGCACACGCGGCTCGTGCCAGGCGGGGGGTTCCCATCCCGGCTGGGGACCAGGTGGGAGGCACCACCTGCCGTGGGCAGGGTCTTCCTCACTGTCCGGTCACGGCACAGAGCGGCTAGAGACAGACAGGGAAGGCAGGGGGAGGGCGCGCCCCCTGCTCGCCGCTCACCGGGGTCAGATCTCCGGCGCCCCGTCTGCCCCCCTGAGCCGGCCAGGAGTGATCCCTGAGTGCAGAGCCAGGAGGAACCCTGAGCATCACCGGGTGTGACCCCAAAACCAGGAGGCAGGGGGGCGAGGGGGGTGGACGGAGGTGTGGGCTGAGGGCCAGGAGGCGCTGGCTGACTCCGGGCTGACCGGGTGTGACTCCCTGCACTGCACATGACCCCTGAGCACTGCCAGGGGTCACTCCAGAGTCCAAAGCCAAAAATAGTCTTTGGGCACCTCTGCGGGTCTTCCCACATACACAGCCCAGCGTCTGTCACTGTCCTGCAGGCCACGCCCGCTCACCTGGAACGGCTTCTGGTAGATCTGCTCCATGGCGAGCCGCCCGTACTCTGTGAACAGCTGGGAAAGCAAAGCACTTACCAAGGGCCCCAGAGACGAGCGCGGACGCGCGGGAACGCTCTGTGTCAGACCCTGAGGTGGGGGTCTCTGGGCGGGCACCAGAGGGGCACCGAGAGGCCCGCCCAGTACGGAGCACACTGCTCCCACCGCCACTGCCGCTCACGCTAATGGCTAGAGCTTGGGCCGCACGGGAGGCAGCAAGAAAGGACCGCAACCCTCGTGCACGCGTACGTACTTGCAAGTGTTGGAGGTCATCTTCCTGGATGTTCTGGGACAAGTTGTACACCTGTCAGAACAGAGTTGGGTGTTTTCAGTCTCACCTGAATCCCCGGCTGTACCTTCCTGCCTCACACAGAGGCTCATTTCGCCACGACCTTAGTCAGCGGCACAGGGAGAGTTTTCCTTTTGCTGGAAGCAAGAGTCAGGACAGGCATTTAGGAGAAGAAGACGGGCGAACTCTGTGGGAAGAGGCCACACGGGCAAACGGGCAAACGTGTGTGCGTGCGTGTGTGTATATGTGAGTGTGAGTGTGAGTGTGTGTGTGTGTGTGTGTTACTCCACTTCCTTCCTCCCCCCACGTTTCGGTTGCTTTGCCTGTTTTGGTTTGTGGCTACTCCCAGCTTGGTGCTCTGGGATCACACCCGGCCTCCCCCTGCAGTGTCCATCCACAGGCCCCTCCAAGTCTCCTCACGGCAAGCCCCGATCACAGGGGTCGGGAGCGGTGACTCCCAGGATGATCTCGCGGTGGGTGGATGTGAGCAGGAGCAAGGCCGACCTGGCCTCGGCCTGCACTGTGACAGCTTCTCCCCTTCTCAACACACTCCTGGCTGACCAATCCCAAGACCTGCCCCGCCCTAGGCAGCAGGTGCCAGCAGGGGGCGCAAGCGGCCAGCCAGGAAGGCTGCGACTTGGAGGAGCGAAGTCTCCCGGGCAGGCCTACCATGTGCTTGGGTCACCTCTGCCAGCGACTGTCTTAGGAAGCAGGCCACCGCCGCCAGAACATTCTGTGCTCACAGAAGGTACGTGCAAATCTGGCCGGGCCACACGGAGGCCAAGGCAGACACAGCCACCGGCGGTCAGCAGCCTGCCACGAGTGCACGTGACCAGCATTGCGGGCTCAGGGCCCCGAGCCCACCTGAGCAGAACCCCCCCTCCCCATTTCTAGCACGGAGCTCTGGGGGGCGCTCATGGGAGCAGCTGCAGGCAGGGGGGCGGGTGGCTTAGCTGCGGCCATAATAAACGCCTGGTCCTGGCCAGGGGATGAGAATCCCGTCGAGAGGCCTGACCTGCCATGGATGGTGCTGGGCGTGGCCACGAGCGGGGTAAAGGGCAGAGGCCGGGAGGAGGCAGTAGTGAGGCCGCCTCTGGACCCCCTGTGGGCTGCCTTCCTGGGCGTCACTCACAGCAGAGGGCTCAGGAAGCAGCTGGGCCACTGTCCAACGCCGAGAGAACACGCGGGAGAACACGGAGCGCCCAGCAGCGAACGCGGGCCACAACCACATGGACACTGTGCTCAAGGGGCGGGGGAAAGAGGCAGGGCAGGCGCAGAGGGCGACCGTGGGGCCCAGAGCATCCCGAGCCGGACCAAGGGGCCTCTCTGCTCTCCTTACAGCACCCAAACCTTCTGCACAGGGGTGCCGGAGACATGGCAGCGGGGAGGGCGCTGGCCCCGCACACAGCCAGCCCAGACTCCGTCCGGCGTCCCATATAGTCCCTGGGCACCGCCAGAAGAGACTCCAGGGTGCAGTAAGCCCTGAGCACAGCAGACGTTGCCCCCACCCCACCAGAAAGAAGAGAAGAAAAACATCTCCCTGCGTCGCACACAGCCTTCACAGCTGGAAGAATGCTCAGGAAACTTCCATCCCAGAGATCACGGGACAGCGCCACAAGAGCCTGAGACGGGGCAAGGGCATCACCTCCGTCTCCCGGGACCCTGTGTGTCCAGGGTGGGGGGGGGGAGGGGAGGGGGGAGACACGCTTGTGCCAGGGGCGGGGCTGGGCTGCAGGGTACACACCTGCGTGCTCACCTCTGGGCCGTCCCCAGCTCTGGCATTACCCACCTCGGGCCAGCACAGCCTGGACCTTCCTTAGAATCTGCAAAGACCCTTCCTGAACGTGCCCGCCGGCTGGCCCTAAAGCCCACCCCCTCAGTAACGGACTTTTCAGTGACCCGGGAGTCAGGCGCTGGGGAGAGTCAGCAGGGTCACGCACACAGAGCAGGAGCCCCAAACTCTCGGCCCGTCATGTAAACTCACTTTGCCTCCCTGAGCTGGACATGACCCCCGGCTGTCAGGCGGCCAGGCAGGCACAAGTCCGATGGCCCCTGGGGCCGACTCACCTGCACGGAGCTGGTCATGGTGCTCAGGGCGAACACGGTGGCGCAGTCCTTGATAGTCGACTGGCTGTCGAAGGCGCCTTGCGTGTCCATGAGCAGCACGGCCACCTGCGGGGACAGAGGGGCTGAGAGGGGCCCGGGACGGACGGCCGCGCCTGGGGCCCACGGCAGCCCTTACCTTCGTCCCATCGGGCCTGTCCACCACGAAGACCTCGTCCCACACCTGGATGCCCATCGTCTCCCTCTCACAGCCCCCACGCCACGTGAAGCCTGTCAGTGGCTCGTCACCGCTGCCCATCCAGCCGGGGGAGGTCTGAGGGACGAAGCAAGAGTGAGACAGAGGCCCCCAGCCCCACCGTGCCCCCTGCGTGTCGGACCGCTTCGCCAGAACCTTCTCCAAGCGGCCGCTTCCCCTCTCGCAGGCTCGGACCCCTTGTTTAACCCCCACCAGCCCAGGGACCGGCTCTCCTGGCCCTTCTGTGCAGGCACACGGAACCAGCTTCCAGACAGCGGGCCGTGGAGACGGGATCACCCCCGCCCCAAGGGCTCCACACACTCGGACACTTTCACTCCGTCTCGAGGTTTCCGACGAAAACATACAATCAACTTTATGGGGCCGGAGAAATAGGACAGCAGGGATGGCGCTCGCCTTGCACATGGCCAACCCAGCTCCGATCCCGGCCCCCCATACGGTCCCCTGAGCACTGCCAGGAGAGAGTCTTGGGTGTAGAGCCAGGAGTAACTCCTAAGTATTGGTGGGTGTGACGCAAAACAAAAAAGGTCGATTTTAAAATAGCGACCCTGGGGCTGGAGTGATAGTGCAGCGGGGGAGGCATTTGTCTAGCACGCAGCCGACCTGGGTTCGAATCCCGGCATCCCATACAGTCCCCGAGCACTGCCAGGATTATTTCCTGAGTGCAGAGCCAGGAGTAACCCCTGAGCATCACCGAGTGTGACTGAAAAAGTAAAAAAAAAAAAACAAAAACAATGAATTAAAAAATAAAAATAGCCACACAGTAGGGCCGGAACCACAGCACAGCGGGGAGGGTGCTGGCCTTCCCCATGGCCAACCTGGGTTCGATCCCCACACCCCATGTTTCCCCGAGCCCCCAGAACCGCTGGGTGCCTCCCGCAATGGCCTGTTTGGACCTAGACCCCAACAGTCATCTCAGACCCCATCAGAGCCTGCGGGAAGAAGAGGGTGGCGTCCGTGCCAGCGCACAGGCGGGGTCAAAGGGCTGCAGCCATCTCGGACCCAGGGGGCCGCATGTCCCCCAACTCCCTCTCCCAGCCCAGCACTACTGGTGGCGCCCAAAGAGAGAAACAAAGAGAAACTCAGGGGGACCCGTTGGCCATCAGCCCCTCGGGGGCTCAGGGACAGGAGCTACCAGCACTCACTTCAAAACACCCCAGCCTGAAGGAAAACAGGCAAGGAAGGGAGGGTGCACAGAGTCAGGGCCACAAGCCCATGGTCACTCAGGGCTCCGATGGCCGTCACAAGCCTGGCGACCCAGCGCCCGAAGGGTCAAGCTTCGGTGGGGGAGAGCCGAGGCCCGGCTGCCCAGTGTAGCCTGGGACGCTCCTGTGTGCAGAGAACCAAGACTGGACAGTTGGACACAGGGGCTAGGGGTAAGCGTGGACACTCAGTCGTGGACACATGGGCTGTAAGCGTGGACACAGTCATACACAGACATCCGGGCTGTAAGCATGGACACAGTCACCCCGGGCCCACTGGGTGAGGGTGATGTGAGGAGCCCGGCTAGCCCTGACAGACAGTCCACGGTCTCCCAGGCTTTCATGGATGAGTCCCTGGCAGGCCTGTTCTCTGGTGTCACAGGCCACGCCCACCTAAGGAACCCTGGACCGGCCCCGCAGACAGGCCTGCTGCGGGAGCCGAGGCGAAGGGGTGAGAGGGGCCAGCAGGAGCCATGGGCAGCCTGGGCGGGGCAGACAGGCTGGCAGCCACCTGCGGGTGCCGAGTGGCCCCTGGCCCTGCGCGCACGCATCAGACCCTCCCCCACTCCCACAGACCTCCCTGGCAGCTGCACTCCCGCCCGCATGGCGGCAAGTCATCACGTCTCCTTGGGGGACCCCAAAACAGTCCATGGTCTCATTTATCATGTGGACTGTGCTGCTGGGCGCACAGTCCAACACACTCAGAAACACGCCCTGGGCCTAGAGGGACAGCACAACGGGGAGGACACTGGCCAGGGAGGGTGCTGGCCATGCATGCGGCTGACCCGGGTTCTAGCCCCAGCACCCCGTATGGGCCCCAAGACCCGCCAGGAGGGAGCCCCGAGCACAGCTTGGGGTTGCTGGGGACCGCAGCGCCACAGTCAGCCTGGCTTTTCCCTGTGACCCGAACACCCCCTCCAAGAATCACATGCACTCAGGGTCGCTTCATCAGCCCAAGACTAGAAACCCAGGTGCTCATCAGCGGCAGGGACTGAAGGGCAATAGAGAAACGTCAGCATCGCTCTCTCCCTCCCCAGGGAACTGTGGCACAACCGAAGTATGGATGGCAAAAGTAGGAATGGCTGAGGCCAAGCCCAGTGCAGGAGGGAGCAGGGCTGGGTGCGGAGAGCGGGCTGGGGGTGCCAGCTTCCAGGGCAGAGTTCAGAGACTCGGCACAGGTGGGGGACGGGCTGCAGGCGGCAAGGCGGCAGGAAACACCACACACACTGCGGGTGGGTGGGCGGGCTCGAGGCCAGCTCACGGGCCGAGCACAGGCTTTGTACCCAAACACCCAACATTTAAAAAGCACTTTAAAACACAGTTCTTCTCCAAGCACGTTTCCCTCCTGGGGACGAGCAGGAAGCCGGCCAAGCCCCTTCTCCCAGGCCCCAAGGCGAAAAAGCAGCTGATCCTGGGGCCTGTGCTTCCGGCAAATGCCATGGCGCAATGAGCCCTGTGAGCCCCGGACACCTGGGCCTCCACTCCAGACAGCTCTGGAAGGTTCTCTAAAGGAGGATATCCGGTTTCCCTTAAGGAGCACTTACGGGTCACATTCTAAGGGAGTCAGAGTCCGGGTGGTGGAGCACAGGGACGGGGCGGCCGCAGAGCAACACTCGGCCAGTCCGTCCCAGCGTCTGAAGGGGACACTGCCAAGGGGACTGGTGGGGCCGGAAGCCGCAGGACCCCTACAGTCCCCGAGCGCTTCTCGTCTCGGGGTGTGGCCCAGGAAGAGAAAGGAAGGCAGCCCATGGGGGCAGGGGATGAGCAAACATCCAACAGCACAGGCTGCGGCTCTGCGCGGGGCTCGCGAGGGAGCATGGCCTTCCACGGAGCAGAGCCACAGGAGGCGACCCAGAGCCCAGCAGCTGGTCACTGCACTGCACAAGGAGGTGGCGAGAGAAAGGGGACAAAAGCAGGAAACTGCAGTGAAGTGCTGAGGGGCCGGTCAGCGAGCAGGCTGGGCTGGCCAGCCCCAAGCCGGACGGGCCAGCCCAGATGCGCCTCAGGCTGCCACTGAAGAGCCACACACCGTGGGCATATGTTGTTTGGGGGGGGGAGGGAAAAAAGAAGAGGGTGGGTATTTTTCTGGAGGAGGCCCCATGTCCAGCAGTGCTCAGGGGTCACAGCAGAAGCTGGTTCCACCCCAGGCCTCCCCTTCTGCGCCATCTCAGGCCGGAAGGAAAAGAACTTCTGCGAAGAAAAACCCATTTTCCTGAGTCCCGAGCACCGCCACGCCCCCCACCCAGGCTTCTGCTTTTCTTCCCAGAGTCAAATAAAACCTACTTCCACTGCGCACAGAGCAGCTCCAGGGCTGTCTGAGAAAGGGCCCAGGGGGCACAGCCCCCTTTACAGAGGAAAGGGCGGGCAGCCGGGCCAGGACGGGGCGGGACAGGCAGGGAGGGCGAGAGCCTCCAGTCCCACCAGGAGACCTGTGGTGTGGCCGGCCCTCGGAACAGGGGCTGCGGGTCCCAAGACCACTCCCAAGACACCGTACGGCCCACAGCCGCCCCTGGATGTCAGCAGGCTCAAGCCCACACCACCCATACAGCCCACACAGCTGTCCCTCACGGAAGGGCAGTGGGTCAGTGTCGGGTGACACACAGACACCAGCCCAGGAGCCAAGACTCACGGGCAGACGCGCAGGAGACCCCGGCCCGCACCGAGGCCGTGTCCCCTCTCTGCTCTCCTCCCCGCCAACGTGCAGCCGCTCCCCACAGCCGCGCCCTCTGGAAACACCAGGTCCGCCTGAGGAACCCCCATCCCAGACATGTGCCACTTCGTCCCTGAGAGGCTAGGACCAACCGAGAGATCCTTCTGGCTCCCAGGGACGGCCTGAGGGGACACACTGGGGACACAGTGGGGGCCACATAGGGGAACTCCCCAGAATGGAGAAGGAGAGCCCAAGGCCAGCCCGACAGGCCAAGACGGGCCGCAAAGACACGCTGCTGAGTGCCGGGCTGGCCAGACCTCCCTAAGTGCCCAAGGCCTGACCCCCCTCCCCCACAAGGCCCAACACCAGACTCATATGCCCAACGCCTGACCCTTTCCCTCAGGGCCCAAAGTCGACCCTCCCTCATGTGCCCAACACCTGATTCCTTCTTTCTGCTTATCGAATCCCACCCCCCCACACACCACCACCAAGTCCCGACCACTGGAAAACACTCTGGAATTTTCGGTTTGTTTTAGAGGTCCAAGCCAGGGGAGGGGAGAAACCGTCCGCAGGGTAGGGGCACTGGCCTGGCACGCAGCCAGGGGCTCCCTGAGCACAGAACCAGGAGTAACCCTGAGCACAGCTGGCCGCGAGCTGGAACAGGGAGGGCAGAGGCAGGGCGAAGAGAACGCGGAGGGAGACGCATCGGTCCGAGCAGAAACCCAGGGTCAGCTCCGGGCCCACCACGGCACGAGGCCGAGCGGTGCGGGTGAATCCCAGCATCAGGGGTGCACCGTGGGACGGGGGCAGCCAGCCCACCAGCGCGGAGCTCAGGAAGCCTGGTGAACAGCGCACAGCAGGGGGGAGGGAGCGAGCAGAGGCCGACTCCGGGCCGCAGTCCATGGAGACCACCCCAAGGGGCGGCGGGGCCCGCTCTTCACCTGGTTGTACATGTATCGGAGCATGAAGTCCAGCAGGAAGGACTTCCCCTTCCGGAAGGCGCCGGCCACGGACACCACCACGATGCCGAGGTCGCGGACGTGCTCCTGCAGCAGCACCCGCTCCAGCGCCGCCGCGTCCAGCTCGAAGTCATGGCTGTCCTCGTGCGCCAGCACGATCTGCACCGGACAGGGCTTCCGCACGGCCTCCTCGGAGCCCAGCAGCTCATCCTCCCCGGAGTCCTCACCTGCAGGGAGAGCCCGAGTAAGGAGGTTACTCGTCCTCAGGGTCACGCCCAGCCCCCCCTCAAGGGTCCCTTAACCCTCTCCCCGCCAGCAGCCTCCCACTCCGGACACACACACACACACACACACACACACACACACACGGGAGCCACTGCGGCGCCTGCGGTCCTGCCCTCTCCCCGGACACCAGAGTCCAATGTAGGGAGACCGCTGTCCACCAGAGCCCAGGTGTGGGCTCCTCCCAGAGACAGGCGGGGCGGCTCTGCCCTGCGGTGTGGAGCCTGTCCCTTTCCACCACGGGCAGGTCCCACCATCCCACCACACTGCCATGCTGAGTGCTGCCCACAGAGACAAGGGTGGCCACCATCCCATAGCCAACAGTCAGAGCCACTGTGCCCAGACATGCCCAGGAGGACACACAACTGAGCTCCAGAGACGGTACCAGGGATGTCAACAGTGAGGACAAGGCAGCCGCACAATGAGGGCTCAGGTGGCCACGGTTCCCTCGAGAGTGAAGACTGTGAACCCGCAAGGGACCGCCTCGCCATGGCCAGCAGGCCTGAGAGGCCACAGGGCTGGACGCAGCCGCCCAGTGTGCCGGGCAGGCCAGTGCCCGCTGTCCTATGGCTCAGTAAGGGGCCAGGTCACAGGTGAGTGGGCAGCCTGGGGTGACAGGAACAAAGGGTGAGACCCATGCCTGGGGAGCGAAACGCCCAACCCCTGCATCAGAGGGAAGGCAGCAGCGCTGGGCGCCCCCCACTGCACCAAGTGGCTCTGGCAGGACGGGGCTGGGGCAGGGGCAGGGGTCTCCGAGTCCCCACTGGCAGTGTGGCGTGAAGGGCCCCTCACAGGGCACTGACCTTGGGCGGCCAGACGCAGGCCTGCTGGTCTAATGAGCGCCCTCCCTGGCCCCGTCCCGCACCCCCACCGCCTTGCCCGGCCCATCCCCCCACCGACCACCACGGCCACTCCCCTCGCCCCGCCTGGTCCTGAAGTCCTGGGCAAGACTCGAAGTGTCCAGCGCAGCACCCCCCTTTGCTCTTCCTGCATGCCCCCTAGCGCCCGCCGCTGCCTCCAAAATGCACCCCAAAACATCCAGGGGTCTCCACACCTGCTCTTCCCAGCCCCCCGGCCTGGCACTTGCGGGCTCCTCCATCCTGGAGGGGAGCGCAGGACGGCTGCCCCGCCAACACTCTCCAGCCAGCCCAGGGCCACTGGCGGGTGTCGCTGGCCCTTCCACTCACGGAGGAACCGGCCCACAGGGCTCCCTCCGTGCCCACCAAGCCCCAGCACCCGGGTGCGTGCCCGCCCCCCACCCCGCCTGCTGCACACTCCATCCCCGGAAGTCACTTTCCAGCAACTCCGAGAGCAGATCCATCCCAAAATGACAAGACCCTAGTGCTGTGCCAAGCAGGCCTAGAGTCAGTGTGATGTCATACTGCGCACCTGCCGGCTGGTTCTGAACCCAACACCACACTCCCGCCGAGAAGAGCAGCAGTTAGCGGGAACCTGAGCAGAGACACAGCCGGCCTGTGTCCTCACGCCCGAGGGGCTCTCGGACCACGCAGGCAGGGGGCCTGGCCTGGGAAAGTCACACACACACACACACACACACGCTCATGCACAGGGACACACATGCACACGCACACACGCACACATGTGCACACACATGCACAAACGCACACACATATGCAAAACTGCTCACACATGCATATGCACAAAAACACGCACATACGTACACAAATGCACACACACAGACACACAGACACACACACACAGGAGGCACATCTGGTCCTCATCCAAAGCCAGGTAACAAGGCAGCCTGACAGGCACGGCGCACCCAGGTCCATCCACCCTCACTGGTGACTTTTCAAGAGGGGACCCACCTCCTCCTCCATCAGGTTTCATCCTTCCTAACTGTTCCACAGCGTGAAAAGGAACTTTCCGAGGGCACCTAGCCCTGGAAGCTGTCGGGCACGGGAGACCACGCCATCCAGCTGGATCAGAGCGGAGTCTGGACAGGGCCTCCTCTGTCCCGCAGGGCTGGCCAGCCCAACCAGCATGGGGCACCCCAGACTCCTCGGCTGCCTGGCCCGGGCTCGCAGCTGCCACGGCCCAAGAGCGCCGCGGTCCTGCTGGCTAGAGCAGCACATTTCTCTCTCCACCTTCTTCCTTCCTCCCTCACTCTTAACCCGGCAGTAGGAGCCCCCATCCCAGCCCCGTCCCAGCGGCTGCGCAGTTCCTGGACCCCCGAGGAACACGCGCTACTGTCCCCAGCTCTCGCGGGTCATTCTCAACAGTCCCGACGCGGCGGTGGGGAGTGACAAGCCAGACCCAGGGAGCAGTCAGCCCCCCTAATGCCACTGACACAGGCCTGCGGAACCCGTGCCCATCAGCCCGTGGCAAGCCGAAGGACACTTGCCTCACCTCAACTCTCTCCCAGTTAACTCAAGGATCCACTAAGCAGGGTCCAGGGACACAAGCGTCTCGGCACACTAAACCCACAGTGCTGGGCACTGAGGCAGGGCATGGATGGACAAGCAGACCCTATTCTCAGCAACGCTCCTCTGTGACCTGAGCCACGACACACCATCAGAGCCGACCCAAATGGGGCCAGAGGCGCCAATGACAGTGCTGTACGGTGACAGTTCACCCACTGTGACAGACGTCTCCTGGGAACGGGCGGCTGACAGGGAGGGGGTGGGGGATGTGTGTGGGTGAGCCGGGGTGGGTACACGTGATTTTCTGTAATTTCTGCAGAACTTTGTTATGAACCTAAAACTGTCTAAAAAGCATTTCTAACACCATGGGGGGGACATGGGGGGCAGGTGGTCCTGGGGCCACACCCAGCTGTGCTCAGGGCTGTTCCTGGCTCAGCACTCCGGAGTGCTCCCGGGAGGTGCTCAGGGTTCGAATCAGGTCAGCTTCAGGCAAGGCAAGTGCCTCACCCGCTCTAGTATCTCTCTGGCCCAACACCTGTCTTCTTCACTGATGTTCAATTAAACACTTTATCTTAAATCTACTAAATCCATATATCCAACAATAGTGGACATTAGGATCGACCTAAATTTGTCAGCAAACTTCAAGCTTAATAACAAGTAAATACAAGAAAAAGGTGCTACAAATCCGCAATAAATGTATTGATCACAGAGTATATCAATTCAAAATTAAACATGAAGAAAGAGAACCAAGTAGAATAAAGCACTTTGAAAGCAATCAAACTATAGTTTATTCCAAATAAATCCTCCAAGGAACTTTTTCCCCTTCCGCCGAGCAACTGAGCTCTGTACCCAAACCCTCAGTTAACTCTGGCGGCTCTTCAAGAGCCAAGGGACAGTCTCACACGCAGGGGTCAGCACCCCCACCCCGGCCAAAAGGAACGGCTCCTAGGCACTCCCCAGGCTACTCCAGAGTACTGCTCAAGGCTTGACCAGACCTGACACGGGAAGTCAACACCGAGGTGGACGTGGTCCAGGTACCAGGCAAGAACCGGACAGCCTGGAGCATCACAGCAACCAGAATGCGAAGGAAAGGGCAGGGCAGCCAGAGCCAAGCAGGGCAGGTCACCCCAGTCCTCTCTGCGCCCGCTTGAAGTTAAAGGCACACTCAATTAGGAGGATCCTCCCAGGATGGGAAATGCGTGATGAGAGACTATAGACCAAACATGACTGCCACTCAATGCCTCTTCTGCAAAACACAGGACCCAAAAAGAGAGAGAAAACAAAAGGGAATGCCCTGCAACAGAAGCAGGGTGGGATGAGGGGATGGGGGGTGGGAGGGATACTGGGATCTGTGGTGGTGGAAAATGGGCACTGGTGGAGGGATGAGTACTTGATCATTGTATAATTGAAACCCAAGCACAAAAATTTGTAAGTCTACAACTGTACCTCATGGTGTTTCACTAATAAAAAAATTTTTAAAAAAGACACACTCAAAGTGGGGAAGGGTCTCAAGAGTGACCACCAAGCAGAACCAGCTGTCAACCTGAGGCTGCCAGGCGAGGCCCTAAAACCGAAACGAATAAACAACGGTTTCCATGGATTTGCACATTTCAGAGCTCACACACTATGTACCTCATACAGGAGGATTTAATGCTGAAAGGAATCCAGTTGTATGAGCTAGCGTGAGGCACCTCAATTTATTTACTGCAGGGGCTGGAGTGATAGCACAGGGGAGAGGGCATTTGCCTTGCAAGCGGCCGACCTGGGTTCGATTCCCAGCATCCCATATGGTCCCCCAAGCAACACTAGGAGTAATTCCTGAGTGCATGAGCCAGGAGTAACCCCTGAGCATCGCCGGGTGTGACCCAAAGAGCAAAAAAAAAAAAAAAAAAAAAAATTACTGCAGACACTCAGTAGGACACGCAACATTAAGGCCAGAAATAGGACAACAGGTTGAACGCTTGCCTTACACACAGCCAGCCCAGGTTCGATTCTCAGCACCCCCTGTGGTTCCCTGAGCACCACCAGGAATGACCCTTGAGAGAAGAGCCGGGGTGACCCCTGGGCACTGCCAGGTGTGGCGCCCCCCAACTCAAAAAAAATAAGTGAAACTTTCAATTAAAAGCCTAAAGTTCCTGCGGTCCCCTACAGAAACCAGGTGGTTCTCTCCAACCAAGACTGGGAGGAGACCCAGAGATCACAGGCAACGAACTAGTGGCCCCCACCCGCACCTGCCCCCAGCAACACATAGGCACAGCCTCACACAGAAGGGCTTCCCTCTCCCGGCACGCAGGGAACCCGAGCATAGTCAGGAATAAGCCCAGCACTACCAGGTGTGGCCCCCAAACAAACAAAGATGTTCTGGGAACGTGTGGGAAGTGTGGCCTCAAGTCACAAGTGTGCGAAGAGTTTTCAGTCACTTACCTAGAAGTTCACCCAGAACCATTGCTGGAGGGGCAGAAGTGACAGGACCTCGGGGAGGGTGTTCACTGCCTTACACACAGCGACCCTGCTTCGACCCTTTGACCCCTGCGTTTCCTAAGTCCTAAGGCATTTCCTAT